CGAGGCTGCCGAGTCCCGCGGCCGAGGGCTCGGGAGCCCGGGAAGGGCTGTGAGCTCTCCTCGAGGATGTTTGCCATAAGCTCTGCACTGTTTGCTGAGGGAAACAGTTGTAACTACTTGCTTGAGGGGTAAACAATAGGTTAACTGGAGCACACCATCTTTTTTTCCTGTCTGTTTGGGATATGCTGCTCTCTTCTGACTTGAAAAAACATTGCACAGCTTACTTGCACGTGGCTGCTAGTGTAAATGTAAAGCTAAGTGCAAATACAAGCAAATTACAGTCATAATTCCCTTTGCGGTCTTATTAAGGACATACAAAAGAAAGAACGTTTGCAGGCAAGCTTTTTTAATCCTAACAGTTTCATTAGAGAAGAAAAACATTTTAGTAAGCCCCCTTTCAGGTAGAGCAAGCAAAAATTGAATTTGCTTCCGTTTATTCACAGTTTATTTCTAGATTTTGTTCTTTAATGGGCAGATTTCAAACTTGGGAGTGTTAGTTGATTATATGGTAGAAGATAAAATGGTTCTGGAAGATGCTTTTGAGTTTTAAAGCAGGGTTGTTTTAACAAGCCGTTAGTTTTGAGGCCTGTTAGACCCTGTCTGTCAGGCTTTCATGCCACTTCTGTCAGTTACTCCACCCTGTATTCAGTTTCTCTGCTTCTCCCCAGTAGCTAGCTTCTTGTTTGGTGAGTTTGTAGTGGTTTTCTTTACCAGTTTGTAAGTAGGATTTTGTGATTTTTTTTTTTTCAAATTTGACTAGGATTTTGGCATGCTGCTTTGTAAAAAAAAAAAAAAAAAATCTCATTCTGATCATCTAGATTTGGATAAAGATAACTACATTTTTTCTATGGGGCTTTGTCACTAGAAATGTTGATGGATACCTTCTTGACACACCATTGTTTATATTTTGTACTCCAACTAAAGCATTAGAGCCAAGACTTTAAAAATAAAAGTAATGTAATGCCTATTTATTTTCACCTAATCTTACATTTCATTACACGTTAAATTAGATGTGCTTTAATTTTATTTACAGATCTGGAAAAGAGCCGTTCTCCTGGTGAATACTCTGTTTTTCATTTTCTGAACAGTTAGGATGATCCCACTAGACTTGCTGAATTGGTGTTGCCTCCTAATGGCCCTTTAGTGTAAGCTGTATCTCTCTGCTGAAGTTAGTAAGCACCAGGAACTAAGTTATTAAGACACTTATTTGTAAGTAGAGAAACAGCTTCTATGCCTTTGTGCATATGAAAATAGGCTTAACTGCCTGTACAAATAAGATACTATCTCGTGGCTTGCTGCTGCCAAAAGTGAGAGGCTTTGCTTTGTGCTGAGGGTCTAGATGTACTCCCTTGAATCAGTTCTTCTAGATTATTCCATACATTGGTTCCATGTATCAAAACAGCAGGAAAATATTCTAGTTCTTTTACTGGGTTTACTTTCTTCCATTTTAGAAAGTTACATCTATTGTAGAGGAGACTGATGAGTGCCAGAGTTGGCACAAGGTAAGAGCAGGAGCAGCTGGGGGTGGGCGTGGGGACTGGCATTCCCCTCCCAGCAGCAGTAGCTATTAATTCAGTTCACTGCTTTGTGCAAGCAAGCCAGTGATTTATTCAGGCCTAGGTATTGTTTCTTAAATTTACTTTTTTTTTTTTTTCCCTGAAGCTTGTGTAGTTGTATTTCTCTTCTTCCTCTTCCTCTATATTAATTTATCCTCCCTTTTCATGGAGCAACTTCTTGCTTCTGGTTTATTCATGTTTGTTTGAGAAAATTTTTGTATGTGGCTTTTACATAAGATGTGTAAAGCTGCTACAAGCGTATGGCATGTTTATGTACATTTATCTAATATATAACAGCTGCCATGAGGGGAAAAGGATGTGCATTAGTTCTTGAGGCTCAGCTGAAATACTGTTTTGTGTAGCTCTTGGTAGCTGCTAGGACATTGCAGTATTAAGTTAAGTGTAGGTCATATTCAGTTTTTAGATGATCAAGTGTAACTTCATCATCCTTGCAATAAGCTTGGAGATTGTCCTTGAGCTTATCACCGATCCAAAAATGAACAGCGTGTAGCAATGGTACTCTGATGAAATACAAACATACAAGCAAAAGGTCACATTCTGGACAAATGTGTAGTGCTTCTCCTTAGTTGCACAAGATAGAATGGAGAACTGTTCTGAATGACTAGTTTGTTGCTGGCATACTTCCGTTGCTGATGATCTAATTTGATAAAGTCCAGACACTTTTATTTTTGTGCTGGAAAATCCCTATTATGATATCTTCATGAAGATGTGTTACAGCTCTGTATTGTGGTAGAGAAGACAGAAGAATAGTTATGTTTGGTCTGTGTGAACTCTAAAAATTGACGTGGTGGGGGATGGAGAACTTGGTCATATAAGAGTAAAGGTTTTTAACATATCTGTTTCCTTTCAGCATCTCAAGAAGAAAGATCTGTTTTGCATAAAAATAAGTGATTTCCAGAGGACAGCCCCAATGACAGAACTCTCTGCACATTTACCCCAGTTCCAGCATGGGCAGCTGACAGAAAACTTCCCTGACAACCACCTCAGCAGCACAGTATGTAACAATGTTATTACCTGGCAGTAGTTAAATCAGGATGAATAATCAGTGTGGATGAAAATCTGGTTCAGAACTACAGAAATCTGTTTATTAGGAGTAATTCTCTCCATCTGTCAGTACCACCATATTGTGGTGAGAGACACTGTAGAAGAAATATTTTTAAAAATTTGATGTTCTAACCTCACTTTTATACATAGATAGCCTTCCCCCAGCTTAAAGCGGTGCTAAACTGATCGGTCCCCTGTAAGTGGGAAGTCCCACTTCCCACTCAGGAAGTGGGATGGGACCATTCACATAGCAAACTTTGGCTTGCAGGTCTTTTTTTGAGCATTCTTGATCTAGCCTGGCTGTGGTTTGCTTGATTCATGGGTTTCTCAGTTCATAGAGTTAATTTTAGGCTAGGTGGAGCTTGAGGCATGGGTTTTGTTGTTATTACTGGAGGACTGTTCCGTGCGGGAAGAGCAGCGCGGTCCTGTCTTCCTTGTGAATAATTCGAGCTCTTGAAGTTTGCAGAGAGGGAAAAAAACAGCCCGAAAAAACCTCCCCAAAACCCTGAAGTTTTATACCATTTCTGGCTTAACCATTGCTTTGAAAAATACCAGTGCGTAATTGTTGCTGCAAACTGCACTTACTGTACTGTGTGTGTTTTGGTAAGACCAACTTTCTATGACCTACTTGGGTGTGGTTGCTGAGGCTCTTGGATTTGTCATGCTTGATTCCTTGTTCCTGCTGGCCGTAGCTCTTGATTATCAGGTTACCTTGTGACACACATGCTCCTGTGAGATTGGGCCACTTGTATCCATATTTATGGCAGTGATGCAAGAGAATATTTTGATCCATGCTCTAGCTCTTCTATGCATTCCAATAGTTTAAAAAGAATTAAAAATCCTTGTCTTGATCTCAGATCAGCATCCTAGTGTATAAGTAAAAAACATACAGCACTTGAAATTTATTTTAAAAATAAGAAGTTAAACTGACTTAAGACCTTCCCGATTATAGAAACTGTTACTAAAAATAGAAAGGTGGAAACTTTCCCACTTCATCCCTTGTGCTTTTACTTCAGAGGGAAAGAAAAAAAGTTTCTTTACATCTTGGACAGGTGGAAAGTTAACCTTTGTTGAATACTGCCAAATTAAAAAGGCAACATTCAGCAATAAGCCCCAGGCTCACCAAGCTTATTGGCACTCCTTCCTAGCAGTGGGGGGCAGATGTTTCTATTTACTTCTCACTGGCAAGATTATACTGCTGAATAGCTACTTGTGTTTTTTCTTTCAATATTTAAACATAAAGCTAGGTGTAGCTTCAATACTTAAATGTAGTGATTTATTTCTCTACACGTGCCCTTTCTGGTTTTTGTACATATGCATCAAGATCTATCCCTGCTTAAGTATATTTAACTTCTGTTGGCTAACAATCAGTATGAGAAACTGGTAAGTATTGTAATTGGCCACCTCTCCTTCCAGTCATGCACTGATTGTTCAGCCCGGTATTTAATATGTCACCTTGTAATGACCTTTAAACGTTAAGTAGTCTATATTGAGAACTAATGAAATCTGTGCCCACTGTCAGGCAAGAGGGTCTGTTTGTAATATATAGATCTCGATGTATCAAAAATATTTTATCAAATATCATAGGTTTTTAACTGTTGGTTCAGGGGCGTTGCTCTGGGTTTGCTATTAACTATTTTCCTGATAGGAAAGAAAGCTATCATTTGCTTTTGATATTATTTATTCACCTGAAAGCGCGTAGTTCATTACTTACGTTTGCTTACGGTGTTACAACAGGTGTTACTGACTTTTTAGCTTCAGAATTTTCACTTTTAACTATGTCTGAGGAAAGTGAAGAGTCTGTTCCTTTGCTTCCGCTTCAGCAAGAGTCCATGGCCTCTGCTCTGTTTAATACTGATCAGGTAGGATATGAGTGCACTTTGTTCTTTTAAGTATTAAGCAGTGGGGCACATGCATGTCACGTTTGGTACACGTTAGTTCAGTCGTCTGAAAGGACAACTTTTTTCTAGTTTTAACAGTGAGTGAAAGAATGATTTGTGTAACAGCAGCTCTTTTGATCATGATCTGATTTTCACGCACCAAGTTTTAATAAGTAGAGAAATTTTGTGATTGTGTTTTTGTTTATAACTAGTGGAAGGAATAGAATGGTGTGTATTGGTCTTATTTCTTCAATTTTATGTTCGGTTTTGTGGGTTTTATAGTGGTGTGCTAGTTAATTAGGCTTTTCCTTTGGCTGTTTGCTTTTGGTGCAGAAAAAGCTGTTTGCTTTTTAGACTCTTCCTTTTGGTGTTTGCTTTGCTAAGTTGTAGTCTTTGATTTTAGTTTTTATATATCTGTTCTTAAGGTAGGGACAAGTGCTCTTTCATCTAGAACTGCTGCTATCACGGAGAAAGAGCAACATGTCTACGAGTACACAGAAATCTAATACTGGGTCTGCTTTATTTGTGATGTGTTCCAAGGCTCTGATCTTTTCTAGTGTGAAGTTACTTACAGTGATCTCAAACAATTTGTTTAGATATATAAACTTATTATTGTCTTCCTGTAGGCTGGGAGAAATGGAGTATTTTCGCTATCAAAATGAAGAATTTTACATTTATGCTGTAATCTCTCATTATACAGAAGGACGTTCAAATGCAGACAGGTTTTCAAGGCAATTAAATATGCCACTTACTTATGTGCGCCCGTGTTCTTGTTTCTGTCTGACTTTTAATAATTGTATGCAAGGACTTTACACAAAATGCCTGAGCAGTTTATAATGAATCTTTCAATTAGTAAGAAATAATCTTGAACCTGAAATCTTCCTCAGGTCATGCATTAAGTTAATGACACTGAATTAAAATTAAGGCTAAAATCTTAATTCTAAAAGACTGGTTGCCTGCCAATTTTGACTGCTTAGTTAAGACAATTTAAATTTTTTCCGTTATATTCAATTTTCTTTTTGAGAAAGAGGGGGGGAAAAAAGTGAAACTTTGTAGAAGACAATTCCTGAAGTCCTTCTTAGCTTGACCCTGAGGATGCCACAAACCTGTAAAAAAGGAAGTAAATAGGGAAAAGGTTTGGTGTATATTGCTACTGTAGCATGCTTTGTGAAAGTAACTTTTTCATGAGTTATGGAAACTGTAGTGCTTCAACCAGGGTTTTACCAGTGTTGGTGTTTGCAGTTCAAAGTCCAGGCACTTGAACTCCTTAATCACTTAAGTGCTTTTGAGAACCCCACTACGAGTTCCTGAGTGTGTAGTCAACATCTTATCTTTTCTGAGGGTAGGGTTGGGAAAGCTCTAAATAAAGAATCTCCAAAATGACTTTATTAACTTATCGAAAATGGCAGAGAATTAGTTAGATACAAGTCAGCAGTTATATTCGGAAATGCTGTCAATGCTATTCAGAACAAATGATGAGACTGTAATGTTACACGTTTAAGCAAAAAATATCTGCATAACAATACTTCAGTAGGACTACATCAGTTTTTTTTTTCAATGCCCTATCTTCTGTCTAGAGCAGTTCTACTAAAACTGCATGATATTTTAACGGTGTTGCAAAAGGTACCTTGCTTCAGTTTGCTGCTTTAGTATGCTTATTCAGACTGAACTATTTGTAGCTGAAGCAATTCTGCAGTCATAAGATTAATTTTGTAAGGAATCAAACTCTTTGTGTTACGTCTTCTTTATGTTAACCTCGTGGGTAGAGAGAACGGTAATACAATACTGACTTTGGACATACTCTTGATGATATTAGAGTAAAGAAAAGAGAATAAACTGTTGCATTGAAAGGCTTATTTAGAGTAACTGGTAGACATAAAATAGTTCTATTACTTTATAGCGTAGAACAGGGGAAATGAAACTCACTCACCTGCTGTGTTCTCTGTGCTTGCATGCAACATGCAAAGATGCTAAGCAGTTGTCTGAGGGAAAGGAAAAAAGGTTCATGACTGAGCAGGAAAAGCGCAGGTCTGATCCTTTACTCATGGAAGGCATTATAGCTCAAGGTCTTTCAAAAGCTGAGCTCCCAATTCATGTTTCTGCTTGTGGTTAATACTAATTCAACTGAGAGAGATGTGGAAAGTCTGCTTTTGTCCTTATGTTTGAACTATACTCTTGATGTTTCACTGGCCAGTTTCAGGATACTCAGGAGGCTTTTTCATACTTATTGACAAGCGTGGTGGAATTTCTTCAGTGTTAGCAAAAGGATGTGGCAGTGGTGATCTTCTACTGTATCTGTGGGAAAGGAGAGAAAGACTACACCCTTAGGTCGTCATGCTAAAACCTTGAGATCAAATCTCAGTGTAAAGAGTGAGAATTATTTGAGTTTATGCATTGCTTTTATGTCATCGCTTTTGCTAAAAAATGTAGAAAGAGAACAATGGTCTGCATAACTCCATCTTAATATATTTTACTTAGTGTAGAGTGAGTGTAAAATGGCAAGGAAGGTAGTAATCTTCACGAGACTTTCGTGCAGTTGGCATTATTTCTAGAAGCAGATAAAGTCAGTTGTTACAAGCTTTGAGTTTTCTACTGTCATAAACCTGTGTATCAACTGTAGTTTGGACCGAGGGAAAAAGCTGTCCTTTTTATTTTGCTTTTTTAGTCCTGTTTAAAGGAAAGGCAACAGAGGCTGTTAGGTACAGCCAGCGTTGCTTTTAACTGCTGCTGTTCTTAATATAAATGCTTCTAACGTAACCCTATGGCTCCCAGTCTTTTGACAACTTATATGACACAATTAATTACGACTGTTTAGGTCCTTTCTGTGACAAGTGTTTTTGACAGTAAATACATTCTCCCCTCAGGATCATCCTTAGCTTAATATGCATGTATATGATTGTGTATAGTTGCTAATGAAACTGGGCTTCTTTTTATTTTGCAGAATGAGAGCAGTGAAAGACGGCGCCGTGATAATAGTGAGCGCAGAAGAAATGACAACCCTGAGTCAGAGACCAATGGGCAGCCGCAAAACAACATTCAGCAAGTGGTGGAACAGGATGAAGAAGAAGATGAGGAGCTGACACTGAAATATGGGGCAAAACATGTGATTATGTTGTTTGTACCTGTCACACTTTGCATGGTGGTCGTTGTTGCAACCATCAAGTCTGTCAGCTTTTATACACGCAAGGATGGACAGCTGTATGTATCAAACTTTGTCTTCCCTGTCTTTTCAGTGGACTGACTCACATCATTTTCTTTACTCTCCATCTCTTCAGGAGTCTAATTCATACACTGAACTCCCTCTTGCCTCCCTTTTCTCCTCCACTAGCCCCAAAAGTTTTATTCTATTTCTTCTAGAAGCCAGTCCCTGTATTCTTGGCGCTATTCTCGTTTGCTGTCAGCCTGACAACCAGCCTGGATGATCGCTTTTTATTTGTTATTGCTTGGTTGAATCCCAGTCCTTGTTTTAATACTTCAGCATGCTTTGTGGTATTTATAAAATAAAGTCAGTTGTGAGCCAAAGCCGTTTCAGTTTCACTTTGCTAGAGTACAAAGCTTTTTGAAAGGATAAAGAAACCAGTACTCATTTAAATGAAGTAACATATACGCCAAGATCTGGTTTGCTTATGCTGTTTGATAAAGAAATGTAAACATAGGAGGAAGAGATTTTTGAGATTCACTTCTATTGCCGTATTGAGTCTTTCCTGACAGGCTTCCTGTATAGAAAAGTATTGTTCTGGCAAAATATTAAAGTGACCAGAAAATAGTAATTTCAGTGAAAACTGATTTGGGAGAAGGGAAACAAAAGAAGAACGTTGAGCCTGTCAGAACTGGAGCAAATCAGTCTAAATGTTCCACTGTAAAAACCCTTTACAAAAGCGATCAGAGCGTTACTTGGCTTTGGAATGTTTGTGTAATATAAGAATGTGATAAAATGATAGTGAAAAAGAAGTTTGTGTTTTATTGGAACAAAATTTTTGATCAGACAATTATTTTTCCTGGGATTTCATTTGTGGTAAGTATTTCTTTTTTTTTTTTTCCACTCTTCTACTCAGGTTTTCTTTTTTCACCCCAGCTTGTGATATTTCTCTAAGAAAAAGAGTTGAGGTCTTGCAGTGTTTTTGTTTGTTGAAATCAAGGGGATACGTTTCACTGTAAATTCACTAGATGGGGTGCTTATGAAGGTCTAACTGCAGTAATAGTCTAATGACCAATTGTATCAAAACCAATGGTTTTTTTTTTGTTGTTTGCTTTACAAAGCAGAAAATAGCAGCAATGTTTTCAAAGCCTCAGTAGTCTAAGGATGTAGATATAACAAGTGTTTTAAGGGAGAATGATATTTGTTTTTCTAATTCAGGTTTGCCTAATGTCATACTATGTCATCTTGCAAGTTTTGCCTAAGTAGAAAATAGGTGTCACTTTTGCAGCTCTTAATTAAAAGATTACTGAATTTTCGTTTGATCCTGGCCTCATACCTGAGAAATGTTTGTGGAATATACAGTGGCGTTTCAGTTGACTCTTTCTTGTTGCAGCATCTACACTCCTTTCACAGAAGAGACGGAGACAGTGGGACAGAGAGCCCTGAATTCAATTCTCAACGCTGCCATCATGATCAGCGTCATCATTGTCATGACCATTCTTTTGGTTGTGCTTTACAAATACAGGTGCTATAAGGTGAGTGTAAGTGTAATTGACTTCAGTAATTATGCTAATTTTGTTTTATCTATTAGAATGGATTATGAAGGATGGAAAAGAAGTGAAGGGTTATCAAGGATGGGTTAGCAAAAGTAGCAGAAGTGGTGAGTTATGCTGTTTCAGTTTTGTGGGTCTCCTTTCTCTCCCAGAACAGGGAAACAATGACCCAATGCTATCATTGCTAGAATTGCTAGTTTTATTAGCTAGAATTAGAGTGGCATTGCTTCTTATTCCTTGGACTAGATACTGAAATCTTCCTGGATACTGAAATCTTCTTGCGGGCAAAAACTGCAAACCACAGACCTGGTCCCACAGCTTGAAATCTGTGTATTTCAAAGGCTCTCCTCTCCCCTATCCTGCACCCAGCATAGAAACCTCTGTGGGTGAAACCTCTTTGCTATGTAGCTGCAGGATGATTGGGGCAATGATTTCTGCCTAAATCCGTATACAATTTGGAATAGTATTTTTTTTTTTTTTTAGATATGGACCTTCTGTCTTACCATAGTGTGGTGTTAAATTTGAATTGACTAAGCTTTTGTTTTAAACTGTTACTTCTAATTGTTTTAAAGAAGTCAAACAGTTGATGTGCTTCTGCCAGGTTACTTGACTGACACTCAGTTCTCCTCAGGTGCTGAAAGCATGACCTAGTTTTTACTAAGCTTTTCACATTTCTGGCTTCTCTTTTGACCATAAAAAGCACTGGATGTTCTCCATCTAAAAATAATTCTTGTACTAACAAGCTGAAATGATTAGACAACAGAAATTTCCTGTAGTTATATTTTATGATAATTAAAAATATACTTTAACTTTTTACTTTTAAAATTGCCAGTAGAGTGTTTCTGTGCTACTACACCAGAATGCTGTAAAATATAGTTGCCTACACATTGAATTTTATTTTCTGTACAGTTCTGTATGTAGAATAGAGTCTATATTGTAGGATATGAAATTTCTAACAAAAGAATGTTAGGTCTCCAACTGGTAGCAGTAACTTGCTTATCTTTACAAGATTTCATCTGAAAACTCCTTTGAAGCAAGGAAATACGATTTCAGCTTTACTCCTGTTTAACGTTTTCTACGTTTTTCCTCTATGCAGTAGGTTAAGCAGGTCCTGAGTCTAGATCCTCAACCTGACCAGAAATGTCTCCTCCCTAGGGAATTCTATTGTTTGACTAGTTTTTCTTTGGAACGTATGTTTTGTCTTCCCTGTGTTCTTCATTTTTATTCAGCCTGCCTAGCCAATATCTGGCTACTGTAATTCATTTTAATTTCAACATTCCGCAGTCTTTCATTTTTATTCAAGTTATAGCAGGCAAAGCTGACTGTGTGCTAGCAATCAATCAGTGTTGAAGCCATTTTCAAATGAAGAATAAAAATTCTTTAATCAGAAGGCAACAAATGATACACTGTCATGATATACTGTTAGGAAAATGCTAGCCAACATTTACATGGAATGTTTTGGGAAATTCACTTGTATGAAAAGAGGCTGTTGTTTTGGAAAATGATATAGCAAATGAGATGCATAATGAGAATAAAGCAAACATCTGTGCGTGTCTGATGCCAGCTGTATCAGTTACCTCCATTAGTGTTGTTGACAACAATTACGCAAAGTGGTGGACTATGGCCTTAGCGTTTGACACTGCTAGTGTTTTACTCTTTACCAGAACAGAGCATTAGTATTCACATACTCTACATGCTAGTCTATTTTCTTGGATGGTGAGATAAAGTTTAAGAGCTTATGTTACAAATAGAAGAAGTACAAATAGAAGTCATGTTATTATTAAAATAAATGACACAGCTTTCTTTGCTTTCTCTTCAAACGTTTTCGTAGAGTTTTCAGATGTTTTATAAGGAAATAATTACTTTATCAGATCGCTGTTTAGATGTGTAGATACGCTTACAAGTTGTGTGAAAGTCAGATTCTTTTTGTCTTCAGCTTTAGCATGATTTTTTTTTTCCTACTTCGTGTGGTTGATGCCAGTTTGACAAACTGAGACAGATACTTTGGCAGTTTCCCTGCAGCATCTTTACAGGCACCGTACTTACAACAAGTGGGAGGTTCTTAAGTCTCTTTGCAAATGCACTAGCATATATGGAAAAGTCAAACCATTAGATTAAATGACAGATCTTACTGGATTACAAATTAAATTGGAACATGTTATGAAACATAGTCTGGAGGAGAAGTGTTGATGTTTCAAAAATTGCTGAGAACTTTAAGAACACTTATAAAAATTAATATTCAACTCTAAAAGAACTCAAACCAAAATTCTTAATTTCCTGGAAGTCCAGGTTGTCTCATGTACATGTGGTTCCTCTAGTCTGCATGCATATGAGTTTTATTTTTAAATTAGTCTCTGCAAAGTGAACTTTTTAAAAACTATAACATAAGAAACATTCTAGCGCACATCCTTCACCTGAAGAGAAAAAGAGAACAAATTTCTAAACAATTTCTGAATCCTTTTGATCTGGTGTATATATGGAGCTACTTTAGCAATTAATTTTCCACTGAGTCTCTGTCTTGCAGACAGATTTTTTTATGCAGTTTGAATTTCAAAGTTACCACTTCTGATTGATTATCTGCTTGTAATCTTGAGTTTATTTTTATATATACCTTTCTGTATCTGTGAATTTGACCAATATCTATTTCATTCTCAGTTGAGAAATTTATCAAAGTTACAGGTCTCTTGAAACTTCATTTTTAATCTTAGACAGTAATAGACTAGCGTTCTCTTTTCAGTGCAAAGTCTGAACACATGTCTTTTCAAAGCTTAAATCAGTGCATGCCCCCCTGAAGAGTACATCCCTGAACATTTTTTGTTCAATTGTTGGGCAGATATATCTGCTGTCATGTCGAATTAAAGGACGATGCATGTAGATGTTTGCATAGAAAAGATTGAAATCCTTAATAAAAGCAGATAGCTTTATAGTCATTCATCAGTGAAGTGCTAATTCTGAGTTCCAGTGGATAAACACTGAATGTTTTTCTGAGTTTTTGGCACTTAATGCTATAGCTGTATTCTGGTGATTATTTGGAATTAGAGCAGGTTTTTCAATTGCACAAAAAAGAACCATGTTTTCAATCTGTATTACTACTGGATACTTCTGCTATGTTATGATGCCATTATTATCAAAGTGGGCTAGAAATACACGAAAAGTAGTTTGTGTTTTATCGTACCTCTATTGAAAAACCTCAAAACACTTAAAATTCATAGTATATAAATAAGTAAATAGAGGCGCAATAATTAAATGACTAGCTGTTAATTACTGTATCAGAGTGACAGCCAAAGAGATGTAAATATCATTTTTCTGCTTTAATCAAAAGGCAGAATAACTTCTAAAGCATTTTTTACATGGATATTAAATTAAAAATATCAAATCTAAGACTATCTGTCTTAATATCTATTTTCCAGGTGATCCATGGCTGGCTTATCATTTCTTCTCTTTTGCTGCTTTTCTTTTTCTCATTCATCTACCTGGGGTAAGTGAACTAAAGCATTAGTATGTCATTTTTCATGTATTTAATATTTTTTTAGAACTAGCCCTTGAATCCTAACACGAATGATAGTAACCTAGTGCTGATGAAATACATTTTTTAGTTTTATATAAATCTCTAGGGTTTATATATATGAGAGAGAGGTTTATGGATTTATAGTGTATCTGATATTGCACAACAACTGTCCATCACATTCCCATCACCAGAATAAGTAAACTAACTTTCACAGCATAGTTTATACAGTTAACACATGTTCAGATAACTTTCTTATTCATAACTGCATGGCTCAAGGGCTGTTGTTTGTGTCATGGCATTGGAGGTGGGCTGTATATGCAGAGGCCTTTTGTGGGAATAGCAGAAAATAATCAACTGAAAAGAATCTACTTTGTCACCAAAATAAACGTCTGTAAAGCATATTTAGTGTTTTTCTTTTCAAATTCTGAAGCATGCTCTTAACCAGGCATCAAGAAGAGTTGCATGTAATACTCAGAATTCTCCAGAATGAGCAACCTGACCAGGTTCTGTAACTAGAGCTGTGCAGGAAGATCATGTTATTTTAGCAAATATATTTGCATGCCACTTGATAACAGATGAACTTCTCCTTGGAGAAATTAAGTTAATTGGGGCTTTAGTGGGGTGGAAATGAGGTGAATCACCGCTTTTTGCCAGTGGTGGTGTGTGGTGACTTTTTTGGTCAGTGTTGTCTCTAACCTTTTTAATGACTTACTAAATAACGAGGCAGTGTGTGTTGCACAAGTACAGTGCAGACTAGGTGGAGCTGCCTGACTCTCTTCCTCTGGCTTTATGTTGGAGCTGGCACTCCTCTACAGGAACATGTGCGCAGAGGGATGGAAGGCTTTCCAAACCCTCTGCCTTTCTTCACCTGTCCCTGCTGCTTCACAGTAGTGCTGGCTTCCTTTTGCGGAGGTCCGGTGAGTGAGGAGGGAGCTTGTAGACCAGCTAAAAATGATTGCAGTAAGGGCCATCTTGTTAACACTGTACCTCTCAAAGGCCAGCTAACAACTAGAGAAGACCAGTACCCTGGAGGAAAGTCTCATGCAAAATGTGAAAGATTGTTAATGGATTGATGAGTTGATAGCCGGAGAATTTACAAACAGCCATCACAAGTATTTCTTTTCCAGGCGTGTGGCAATCCTCTGTGACTTGGTGGCAAAATATACATCTCTTTTGGGTTATTATCTATTGAATGTCTTAATCCGATTATAATCTTTAGTGTGACAGAGTAACATGGTTCATCCAAAAAGTAAGGTTCTTACTTTGATATATGCGATGAAGAATGAAACAGAATCACCCTATGTATCTTATCTTGGAGTAAGCAAAATGTTTCAATTCCAGAGGGGCCGGATAAGGAAGGAGAGATCTATTTGTATGTCTTTGAAGATCCATTGTAACCTCACAAATTTGTATTTTTCTAATTTTTAAAAATCATAAGCATAATCAAAGTGAGTGTTTTTGCAGTAATGTCCTCTCCTGACAATTTCTGATTTGACTGAGAAGGAAATGGAAAGTTAATGAAAACTTGTATTTCAGAAAGATGGAGTAGTTGATATGAAGAAAACTCTGGTAAAAATACGCCCTTTGTGAAGAGTAGGTTCTAATTAAGCCTCAGCTGGAGATTTAGAAAATAACTTTACGTTTGTGCCCTACATTGAGTATGAAGATTCCGTTTAAAAAAACAAAATAAAACAAATTGAAGCTCACATATGTAACTTTGTTGCCATTGTTTTAAGCAAATACAGTCCTCCTTATTCTTTTTCATGTTTTTTTAGTGAAGTTTTTAAGACATATAATGTTGCGATGGACTACATCACGCTGGCACTCATGATCTGGAACTTTGGTGTTGTGGGAATGATTTGTATTCATTGGAAAGGTCCACTTCGGCTCCAGCAAGCATATCTCATTATGATAAGCGCTCTCATGGCCTTGGTGTTCATTAAGTACCTTCCTGAATGGACTGCGTGGCTTATCCTGGCTGTCATTTCAGTGTATGGTAAGGTCTGAGACAAGATATAGTACTAGAAATTGCGGTGGGAATTTCTTTTATTTCCTGTGTTCTTCTCTTCCATTTGTTTGACCAGACCTCAAAAAAAGGGGTTGGGGAGAGGAAGGGTAGTCTTGAGGGGGAACACCCCAAGTGGTGGGTAAGGTGATTATAGACTTCAGAAATAAGATGATGCTCTAAACCAAGCTCGGCCCTTTGTAGTTAAGGGCTTTGTGTCACTTTGTAATGCCATCTTCCTTCATGTTTTCTGGACTTTCTGCATGTTTTGGGGATCAAGAAAGATTAGAATTGAAGTAAATCAAGAAAGGAAGAGATAAGAGACCTATATTACCATCTTGGTCTCCCCCAGGAATGTGGGGAGCTTTTATGCCTCCCATTTCACCAAGAATCCTTGGAAAACCATTGTTGATTCAGAATTTAGGAGTTTGTCACCTTGCTACAGCCCCATATGATAGATCTGCCCAACCTGTGAATTACTCAGTCATGAGAACAAAGAACCAATTACCCTGATTCATGACTAATAAGATATTGAAGAAGAATCAAGGAAGAACTCGAAGCAATTTTCAGTGCTCAAAATAATTTTACACATGAAAGATATAGGCATGAGATCTGTTTCCCTTATTAAAAAAATGTATTTTTGAATTATTGCATATTATACTTTCTCAGAGTGGTAACGGAGGTAAAATTTATCTAGATGTAGTTTTATCATAAAGCTTTAGAGGGCGCTGGACACTTTTGGTAAGATCACTCTGTGACCCAAGTACTCCCTTAGTTCCCTGACAAGGTTAAAATTTAAATATTTAGACATAGTTAAAACATGACAGCAAACTATCCGTGAAGACTTTGTCATAACTTGAATTTATTTGGAAGCATGTAAGCGTAATGAAAAGTGACTCTGAAAGTGACTGATAATGGTAAAAATGAAGAATCTTCCTATTGTAGGAATGTCAGCTTAATAAGATTTGATTAGCTCTGGTAGACCAATGTACTTGGTCAGTATCCTGTTTCTTTGGAGGGAAGCAAAAATGTCCCTCATGTGTGCTCATGGATGAAAAGGCAGGTTAAGAGGGCTGCCCCGCCTCCAGTTCCCCCCTTTGTATTACCAGAACAAATCCCGTTACTCCAAGCATTCAGCTGCCTTTCAGTGACTGCCCCAAAATTACCCTTATGATCTTATTCCAAGGCTATAACTTGGTGGTTTTGAATAAAGGAGAGGTACATTCCAGAGTCAGTGACCCCACACTAAGGATTCCTTCCTCGTGCCCTCCGTCTATCTGTGAGGGAAGGGTGTGTGTGTACTGGTTGCCTACTATAGTCTCCTGGGGGAAAGGGAGATGTACCAGAGACAGTGCCATGGCAGTTAGCTCTACAGCCCCTTCAGGGAGCATTCAATGAAGGAGGACTACTTTGTGTGCAACGTACAGCTCCTGATAAGCAAGCTGCTCCATTCAACGTCAGATTTTGTTTAATGTGAATTTGAAGATGTATAGAAAGTGGACTACTGCAAAGTGTAGCACTAAGATTAGTATTCAGATGAAAAAGTTATATTTTTCTGTCCGGATACAGCTTTTCAGTCCAGGGAAAAGCAGCTGAGGTCACAACTCTGGTTCAATCCGTTATAAGCAGGAGTTGTCTGTGGAGTTGCAAACTTAGTAGCAAACCATCAACGCTAAGCTGGTGAAGCAAGTGGAGGATCTGATTAGATCAGCTCTTCTCAGCATTGTGTTTTCATCTATATGAGTAACTTTTACAATCATCCTTCTGTTGTAAATGATCACTTTTCAGTTAATTTTTTACTTGTTCAACTCAGTTGCATATGCTGTCCAGTGCACAAGAATTGAGGGAAGCAAGAAAAAAAGCATCTTTTTCATATACTGAATATGTTTTGAACGTTTCTTAAACCTATGCACATGGCTTTTCTCTGACCTTTGTAGTCCTGTTTTTGCTCATGATATATTCATTCACTTTTTTTTTTTCTTCTTTAAGTGGAAATAAATTAGCACTCATACATACTCCATAAAAGTTATGCAAGCCCCACTTACCTATTAGCTTAAAATTTGCTTTAGCATTGGACTTGGGTTAAGAAAAAGCTTTGGCAACAGATAGCAAGCCAAGTAGTTTTTTAGTGTAAGATTTCCCTAACCTGCCACCTCTGTTTAGTGTGTATCTGACTGAAGTAATGAAATTCTGCAAATGACTGTCTGTCTTAAAGTTGTCATTCAGTTGGTAAACGGACTTCATTTTTGCAGAGGAAACCTTTGAAAATCAATAAAATAATAATCACAGCAGTGATATTTTTGGGTGTTCTTAGTGATTTATAAAGCCCACATTGTAAAACTATATATTTTTAGAAACTAAAATACATATTTCTTTCCCCAAAGACTTTTTTTAATATAGGCCTTGTGGAAGACGATGGAGCAATGAAATTGCATGTTAGGATGTCATTTTTTTTTTATTTGGCCTTAAGAACATGAGTTCACTGTTTTGTGACCTGCAAAGGTGTGTTCTGGCTGAAAAAAGTGCTGAGGGCTTGTTGAGCTGATGCAAGCTCTTGAGGAATCATTTGAATGCTATATATAATGGAACATCAAACTACCTTTCAGTACTGTGGGTGCTGGTTTCATAGTTAGCCATTAAACTATTTACTGTGTAGGAGAAACATCAACTTTTTAAAAAGGTCAGTACACCTAGGGGACATGAATGAGACCAAAGAAATCAACTTAACATCTTCAATTTTATGTGGTAAATTTCATCTAGCTGGTCTTCCATGCATCACAGATGTGCAAAACCTAAGACCAGGTATGGGTAATGCTACGTGTGTGTGTAACTAGGAAGTGAGAAAGTTGGAAGGAGAGATAAGGAAGCCTGAAGAGTAACAGTGATCTGTTCCCCAATTCAGATACTGTGAGTAGCCTGCAAAGATGTACGTGCGCTTAGACATTTGGTCCAAAAATCAGACTGAGGAAAAATTTTAACTTCCTGTAGGATGCTGACCTGTGACTCTCTGGCCAGTGGCTTTCACAAGCATATACACAAGATGGCATTTTAACATGAGTATCTTTTTACCAATCTCTGCAAGCAGTATCATATAAAAACCTTCTTAAACGTATGTCTGCAGTGATACAAGTGTTATTTGCTCTTTTTTCCAGATTTGGTTGCTGTCTTATGTCCTAAAGGTCCTCTTCGTATGCTAGTTGAAACAGCTCAAGAGAGAAATGAAACTCTCTTCCCAGCACTTATTTACTCCTGTAAGTGTGTTTCATTAAGTATTTTAAAACTTGCAGTCAGCTGAAGTGAAGGGATTTTCTCATTTTTCTTCCATTTTGATGTGTTGTTCTTGCAGCTGGAACTCTCATTCTGTTCGTTTGGGCCTCAGTTATCCTTTTGCTGTTGACTCAAAAAGCATAAAATGTCTTCTGGCTAAGATCTTTCAAGATAAAAATCAGCACGTTTTGTTCTTACTAAGTAGGAACAGGAAAAATGGTAACAAAACTTATTTTAGCCAAAGTTGTATGTAGTTAGGCTGTGAATCAAGCATGTTCAAAAGGAGTACTTCTGTTTAGAAAATATTTATCTGCTTTCAGTGCTCAAATAATCTTTGTGTTATTGAAAGGAGTGGGGGAAAATTGCCAAGAAAAGATTCATTTGCAATAAGATTTTCTGCGCAACATGTTTTTTTTTAATTTTCTCCCTACAGTTGCTGAAAAAAATAACCTACCGAATGCAAATTGCTGCTGTGTCCTCTGTTTCAATCAGTAGATAATTCTACTATTTCTGGTGTTGCTCATAGTTTTATGTTGTTGCTACTAATCAAAGTTATTGGGATGTTGATTTGGTTTGCATGCTACTACTTACAGTCATGTGGATAACACATCTAACTTTCAGCCTCACTTCAGGCTAATTGTAAGTCGTTATGCTACTGGTGGTCAAGAAAGGTCTGTATTCAGAGGCAGGAAATACATTGTGTTGTAGACTCCATACTGGCTGCTTAGAAGACAAGATTATGGCAGAAAAAGGGAGGTGTTTCTGTATCTGTTATTCTTCCTGTGTTTTACTGGTATTATTCATAACTGTCTGTCTTTCTGTTCTGTAGGAATAGCTGTTAATGCTGAGAAATCACAGACTTGAATTACAATACACTGTTTAAGTGTGGCAATACTTAATTACCTCAAGATTAGAGTATGCTTTTGGGGGGAGTTAAGAAAACAAAAAAACTTCTGAGGCAGCTACTGTCTCTGAATTGATGTTACCTCAGTACCAGTTTTAATAATCCTTTTCACTTGCAGGTCAAAAAAAAACCAATTAGTGAGAGAAAAAGTTTTAAAATTGCTGATTCAGCTTTTCAGAGTAGGCCTTAGAAGTAGCTTCTTTAAAGCCTCTACAACCCAACTGCTGCAACTTTTTTCTGTGTCTAGTAAAAGTAAAACTTGTACTCATCAAATGCAGTAGATGCATGTTGTAGCTGGTACTGGTGGCATTCCAGTTACTACTGTACTTTAATGAGAGTAGAACTGCCTGTAACAGAAGATAGCTGTACCAAAAAATGGAAAAATAGTGGATCGCTGTCAACACAGGCTCAGAATTGCATATGTCTGAATGTATCGTTAACTATGCTGTTTGTTTTTAACAGCCACAATGGTATGGCTAGTGAACATGGCTGAAGAAGATCCAGAAGCCCAGCGAAAAGCTTCCAAAAACTCCACTTATGATAAACAAGGTGAGTTTTTCTTTGACGAGCTCTGGTAGTTGTCATTTTATTGGAAGACATGTTTTTGGAGACTTGTGGGGTTTTTTTTTCACTTTTTAAGTGCATTGATTGCTCTAGAAGGATGAAAGAGCATAGGCTTTATTAGAAATGATGAGTATGTATACACTGTAAAAGTTGTTCACTTATTGTGCAATTAATGAACCTGCATTCATTTTGCTGGAATTCAGGATGTTGCTGGTGAGATGGCTATCAATACGCAATTACCTACAGAGCTCAATTGGGTGCCAAACTGGGATCATGTACTATAATGCTAACTCAAGTTCATATTTGTATTAAACGGAAATGTTTCTAGCCCTTTTGGCTCTACAGCTGGTGTTTAAAAACATGGAATGTGTTCATTTACTTGTATACCTAAATAGAGCAGAATTTCTGAATTTGTCCATGGCTAGAATGGGAGCTCTAGTATGTAACTTTCAGTAAACTTTTCTATGTTATTGGAAAATTAAGCCATCAAATTTTCATCTTTGCTTTGTATTATAAAATTACCCAATAATGGTGCTCATCTGGGGGGCGGGTGGGTCTAAGCTGATTCCCATAGTTTCCTAACTAGAGAAGCTAATGCAGTATTAAGTGTGAGTTAATTCCTTAAATTGTGATTTTGAAATTCAGCTGCCACAGAACTTCCATTCTGTTGTGGAAGGTACTGCAGAATACTAGAACTTGAGTGCAATATCTAGATGCAGTAACTGCAGAGTACCCGCTGATTCCTATTAGTGTTTTGAAAAAGAAGGTATTAAAATCATAAGTGAGAATCTTTTCTAATGGTGTGTGCTAATGTTAGAAGTTGCTGAATAATACAGAATACCTCTTTTGTCTTTGTTCATGTATGATATTGTATGTGGAGACTGTTATATGTTAGAAGGCATGTTTTTGAAATGGATTTTAAATTGCTTTCTTCCTTTGAGCTCCAGCAAACCGGGCTCCGAATGAAGATGCTGAAGCAGATGATGGTGGCTTTAGTCAGGAATGGCAGCAACAAAGGGACAGTAGAATAGGACCCATTGAATCAACACCTGAATCACGTGCTGCTGTTCAGGCTTTACCCAGTAACTCTCAAACCAGTGAAGACCCCGAAGAACGTGAGTAAGGAGGACTCAGTCTAAAAGACGGAGTAAATGTGAAGCTAGTTAATCTCAGTCTTAGTCATTCTGATTGTACCAATATGGTATGCTGTGAGCAATAGAAAGCTGAAGAGCTATTCTTGCCCAGGATCAGTATTTCTATGCTTTAGAGAAATAGATGGAGCAGTTTTTAGGTAGCTCTTGGTTTTGCTGCAGTATTGAGTAATATTGGCCAAATTGTTCTTTCATTGGACATACAGACTCTCAACTTTAATAGCACAAACTACCAAGTTGCTTTTAGACCATTATACAGTTGAGTTAGCTTCTGTCTTTTCCACAGCTTTCTGCTGTGCGTCGCCTCTTCTGGCTTTTAGGCCCTGTAGATGAAGTTGTTAACTTTTTCACCTCAAGATTAAACTACTGTAAAGCGCTCTGCACAAAGCAGTACTTAAAACCTAGTTGGAGACTGAAATGAATGCAGAATGCTATGGGCTTGCTTATTTTTTTCCAGCATGCTGCATAAGTGCAATATCTTTGGAGGGCACACTAAAGGGCGTTTTAATGCTTATTACCTTTTCTTGAATGCACTGTCCCAGAACAGATACTCAAAATATTCACTTGTGTGTCTACCGGCTCCCGCAAGCACAAGTATAATATCAACACAAGTATTATTCTGTATTACTGCAAATAATCAGTTTTATGTCCCTCAGACAGAAATAGGGGTGGACTGAGCATTTATGTATTTTTTTTTTTTTTTAAGTCACTGGATAAGTGAAATGTCTTTTGTGTTAAATGTATTTCTAAGGCTCCTTCTGAAATCTGTCCTTCAAGTTTTTAGCATGACTGTGGAGTTTCACTGTAACTGCTATTCTTAGCTCAAAAACCTCCTTCTGCTGTTCTGCCTTTTTAGAACTGAGACAAGGACTACATTTGGTTCCAGCAAGGTGTAGAACTTTGTTGTCATTGAAATTAGATGTTGTTAATAGCACAAAGTTTAGTTTTCAATAATAGCTAGATAAATTAATATTCTAAAACTAAACAATCCAATGCTTAGTTGCTGTTGTGAACTTTCTCACCAGGAAATCTAGTAGCATGGAAATATACTATCATGTAGGCTTCAGTTGTTGTTTGAACATTACCCTTCCTGTAACAGTCTGCTATCTGAGAGCAATGTGGATAGCTGTGGAATTCAGCCATTGGCTTTGGAGGGTATATAGCTGTAACAATTGTCGATTTGAAGTAAGCATTTCAGAAGGTGCCTCTGAGTGCTGAGGGAGAGTAGTATGATACAAACAATCCAAACTTAAAGCAGACAAGTCAAACTCTAGAGAGCTTTTGCAACAAAGGAAGAGCAAATATAGAATATATATGTTCTTCTCGATAGGAAGAGCTTGTTTTTCAGCTTACTGTAAAACATATCATATGACTCTTCTTACCTCTTGTACTTCTTTTATCTGAGAAGTGTTTTAAGGTTCTCTTCTTAGTCTCCTGCGCCTCCCCTCCTTCACGCTCCTGGGAGTTGATGGGGGCATCAGACAACACTCACCTCTACTAGGGCGTTATAACTGCAGGCCCCTCTCCAACATTACTGCTTATCCCATTAGCTTCAGGGGCAAGCTGTAAATATCTTTGTTCACTGAAGAGAGAAGATAACCACTGGTTCAGGAGTAAAAGAAGAGTAGGGCTGCATTTTTACTAATGACCAGCCAGGCATAAACCCCTGCTTTGGTGCTCTGAGTTCCTCACTGAACTCTAAAGAGTGAGTTTTGGGCTGGATAGTAATCGGGTAACAAAATGAATGGCAGGCCAAATGAAAATAGCCTGTTGACCTCTCTGACTTAATATCTCTTAAAAGCTCAGAAACGGTACCAGCATTCAGGAAATCTTCCCCCCCCCCCCCCCCCCCAACCAGAAATGGTTGAATATTCTGCTCACAAAGTTGTTGCTAAGATGGTAATTACTATTCAAAAAAAAGTAACACTTAACTCATGAGTTTTACTAGGTCTCACATCTTAGACTAAATATATTTTTGGTTCTGTGATATACTTACTTACACAAAATTGCTTTTTAGAATACCATAATCAGAATTCTGTAGGAAACTGGGGAGGACATTGGAATATTTTGCTGGATATAGGTTTTTACATTGGCAGATAAACTGAAGGCTGCAGATCTGAGTGAGTCATTTGTTTCCTTCTGCCCCTTGGCCAGCTTAAAGAAATCTTACTTTCATGTTCTGCTGTGACATGACAACCAAAAGTAGAAGAAAAATCCTTAACAAATATAATAGAAATTTCTGAGTTTGTATGCACTGCGTTGGTATCCATAATAAAACAGGAGTATGGAAAAATGGTAATTATATGATGAATGAGTCGATTCAGGAGTGGTATTGCTTCTAAAAGTACAAAATAAAATCATTACATTAGCAAGTTGTTTTGATACTGAATATCTAAACCTGTCTTGTTCTCTCACAGTGACTGATATGTAATATTAGTAGTCTGTCTGATGCTTCATGCTGCCATATATTCATTTCTGCAGGAGGAGTAAAGCTAGGTTTAGGAGACTTCATTTTCTACAGTGTCCTGGTTGGCAAAGCCTCTGCAACAGCAAGTGGGGACTGGAATACAACTTTAGCATGTTTTGTAGCCATATTAATTGTGAGTATAATGTAATATGATAATAGTGATAGTTCATCAGGGACAAAATCATGACTGCTTTTTTTCCCCCTCCCTTTGGGTATTGTTTATTTGGTGGCATGACTCTGAAAACTGATGAGGGCTCCAGCTGTGATTTTTCACTGGCTGTATGTCCATCACTTATGCCTTTGGTTTGGCAAGGCATGCAAGCCCGTTATATTTCTGTGCAATTTTCAGTGCAAGTACCTTGTGCTTTTTTTGAATGAAGTATTGCTAATACTTGCAGTAACAGCTAATTCAAGATAGAGAAGAAAAATTATGTACAAGCCATTTTCATTAGTGCCTATATATGTACGACCTTTTGCTCATCAGAGTTCCCTAATTTCTCCCTGTTTTTTTTGTTTTCCCCTCCCTTCAGGGTCTGTGCCTTACACTTCTGCTTCTTGCCATCTTTAAGAAGGCCTTACCAGCTCTTCCAATCTCCATAACCTTTGGGCTAGTTTTTTACTTTGCCACAGATAACTTGGTGCAGCCTTTTATGGACCAGCTAGCATTCCATCAGTTTTATATCTAGCACACTTGATGCTCGTATTCTACGGATATTTGTGTTTGTAGCAAATCTGGGAGGAGGAAAATGTTTTTCCCTGAGTCCTCAAGTGAAACTGAAGTTTAATACTCAAGATTCTGAGCCTGAATCATTACAACTTCCTCCCATTTTCCTGAAACTGCTGCTGCACTGGGCACCATATGATTTTTTTCCTGTGTGAACGTGATTTCTTCTTGATGACTGGTCTAAACTGGGTGCTGTTATGTCAGAAGCAATCTGATATACATATCTCTGGTAAGGACCACCTGTGTGAAAATTGCTAATGTTTCCACCAGCAATGTGCTCTCTCACCACAAGTTGATTATTTTCCACAGCATTAAGGGTGCTCAGGACTTCCTTGACATTAACAGAGGAAGCTTGACGAATCAAATGGAACTTGGCTCTAAACCATTTGAAGAGAGAGAACCCAAATTAAACTCCTTCAGCAGTGATTTTTAACAGCTGAGTCCTGACTGTGCTTTTTGTCATGAGAAAGGATTTTGCATTGTAGCAAAACAGCAAAGGGAGAAACTCACTCTGAAAGGGTACTTCACCACTTCATAGCCTCTGTGCCTAAGTGTGCTTGGTTTAGTAACTTTAAAAGCTTTTTTTCACACTGGAACTAGAGCCTTTTCTTAGTTTTAATACCTTGCATTCTCACACGTGGAGTGCACTTTCTGTAGAGCTGCTCCGGTTTATGTAGCTACTTAGACTTGGACAAAATCATTTGGCATAAGAGGATCATGGGTTCTAATTTGGATCTTTGATCCTAAAAGTTTAGGGAACTACATTAAAAGGCAATTTCAGGACTTATTCTTTGCGTTCTTGCAAATCATTTTGCCAGAACACTAGTTCAAACCCTGCATTTGAAAATAGCCACTAACGGCTCAGACTGCATTGTTAAGGTTCAAATTCCTTTTATTGGCGATCTTACAAAAGAAGCAGACACTCACAGCAGTTCCAGTTGGAGTTGAACCTGCCAGATCTAAAGGCTAAAGTGATATTAGTAACATTTCTAATGTTTCTTTCAAAGTTTTCCCTTCAAAAACATAGGTGACGGGATGTACTCTACAGCAAATTAAAATGTGGGAATGCTCTTTCTAAGCAAAGTTCTGTTGACCTTGCTATTGTGTTGATCTGAAGTCTTGATCACTCAACCTTCTAACACCTCAGGTTGGGCAGGTATTTTTTTTCATGCAGTAACTTTATTGGTAAGAATTTCTTAAGTTAGGTGAGACATTACTTAATGTTACCAAGGAATACAGTCTGTGGCCCTCTTTAATTACCTCTCCTGTGAGGAACAGAAGACTGGAGAAATGAACAATGACTCAAAATCACTGAAACAAAGATACGGGTTTTTGATCTTCCTACAAGAAAAAATCGACTCTGACCTTAAAACTGCTAAACTCTGTTTTGTTCTTTATGTGCGAGAACTTGTTTATGAATAATTGCTTGGAAATGAGATTTATGTGAGGTGAAGTTGGTTTTGCCATAGACTCTTAGTCTGTTTTTTTCTGAACGAAGCACAGGGGATGGATACTTTTGATGGGCATTCCACTTTACTTGCATCTGGTACTGGAGTCCTTGCCAAATAGAACAACTGTCAAAATCCCAAAGCAAACTCCTTTTGCCCTTTTCATGGGGCTTTGTTTCAGTGCCTATAGATTCAAAGGACTGAGACCTCACAGATGCTCTCAAACCATTGCCCAAGTAATGGAATAAAGAGTGCAATGTATAAATCTGCTTTAAAACCAAGAAAGGTTTACCTTTTTTTGGTTGTCTTTGGAAAGATCTCTGTATTGTCCAGTATGATGTGCTAACTGTAGTGTTAGCATCTACGTCTGCATAAAATAAGATATACTGTCTTTTCTCCTTAAAGTACTTTATTCATCTCATGTGTATGCTAATTCATTGTGGATAGCATTAATAAAGTAATCGTATCACAATTGCTCACACTGACTTTCCAGGTGAAACTTCCTTGTGTTTTTGGGCTTCATTCACTGTTCCATATTTTGCTGAAGTGGAGCCTGACCTAAAACAGGCTTTTTTATACAAGACTTCGAGTTGTTTAAGTTTTTATGCTATTGTAACTTGTTCCTTTCCTGAGTATTATAACTAAGAAAATTCCCATGGGTGTTCTATTGGGCATCCTAACTATTGTTTCATTGTATAGAACAGATTAGCTAAGAGCTGGTACCACTAGCATCTGTTTGCATACCTGAGCCAAGTCTCAGTTGGGTTGTTGCTGAAATGCAGCAGTCATCTTTATTGTTTGTGGGTTTGGTTTAATTATTTACTGTAGGGGTACTGACTCCAAGGAGAGTTGCTTTAGAATCCATAGAAATATAGAAAAGCCTTTCCACATACTTGAATGGGCATTAGATGTACAAGCTGAGGAAGAGCTCAGAATCTTCAAACACTATGTTGCCAGTCTTCCACTCTCCATAGTTGTTTCTGCTATCCTGGAGTTTTGATTTCTGAGTTGGTGTGGAGTTACAGCGGTGGAGGCTGTTAAAATGTGTATTCAGAGAAACTGTTGTTCAAGTTCACGTATTTGAATCTCAAAATAAAGAAAAAAAAGAAAAGGGAAAGCTACTTCAAGCCCAGCCCAATATATGTTAAATTATGCTGTCTAATACCAACCCCTGAGTATGCCTTCAAAAACCCGGATGGGCAGAACTGAGTCAAATTTTCTAGATTTGCTCTCTTACACTGAGGCATGGTAGTTTGTTCCAAATGAGATCTTGCAGATAAAGGCTATCTCAGGACTTGGTCCAGAAGATTCAGTTAAGAATAGTTTTTTGCTTGCATTTGAGTTATTACGTACGTGTAAAAGTGGTATCCCTTCTTTCTTACTCTCCTTTGTCTTAAAACACCAGTCTAATTACAGATCTTGAGCCATTTCGTGTTGGCTAGCTTGAGATAACTGAAAGAATTCTGTTGTGTAGTCTTTGTTTTTGAGAGACTTATTCATTATTATTTAATTAGTATATTAACAGCAGCACATTAGACTGTAGCTCTGAAAGAACTGTTGTTTAACTCTGGTAGCTAGGTTCATCTCTTTTGTGCCCCAGACAGACTAACTGTTGTATTTCAATAGTTATGCTTTGAAACTGAGTATCTTGATAGCTTTCACTCCCCTTTCAGGTTGCGTTAACGATTAGTCTCCTCCTTTGGCTACTCTTCTGTAAATAAATAAATTAATAAACCAAAACACTGATTTACAGATTTGCTTAAAAAGCAGCCACTTTAATTCATTTCTTCATTTTTTGCATTGGGGGATGTGATCCAGAGCAAAAAGACAAAACAGATCCTTAGAAGCTGCTCCTTTAGCCAAGGTGTATGATGCTGTCATAGCTATGCGTGGCTCTTAAAGTGGCACTCAGATTCTTAAATCTTGAAGGTGTGCACTTTTATACAGCAGCACATTCAGAATAGTTCTGGCTGGGCAGATCATAACTTTTAAGCCAAATACTCAAGGGCTGTGTTCCACTAAAAATGGCTAATTGCCTTGATGTGCAAAGCAGATCCTGGATATTTCAGGCACAGGAGACTGGTACTTCTTGGATATAGGTAGGGTATGCATTCTGGGCCTGCAGATGACAACTGCTCTGCCTTTAGTGCAGTGAAGAAATAAATATTCTTAAGTTCATTTTGGGTGGAGGGTACTGTATGAAGAAACTTACCCAAATGCATTACTAAAAAAATAGTATTACTTTTGGCAACGATGCTATTGAAACAAGTCTAATAGTGACTATGGAACATGTCTGCACTGCAACTGCATCTCAGTGGTAGCTTGGTCATTGGGAACGCTGAAATGTGAATTAGAATGGAATTCTTTTACAGTCAAAGCATTTGCTGTTTTCTTTTTTTACAGACACTGGTTTGTACATAATCTGAATTGAATGTGAATATTTTTTAAATACCTTTCCGGTTCTTGATAAGATAAAGTTTTGATAGATTATTGCAAATTTTCCTGTATTTGTCTAATTATTAAAATAAAATTGCATGACTCCTAACTTATCTTGTCTTTCCTTATATTATTTTAAATTCGCCATTTAAACTTAAAGCTATTGGAGGCCTCAGCACTGCAGCAATTTATGTTCAGCATTTGATGAGTAAGATTCCTTTCTTAAGATACTTAAGTGGCTTCTTTATTTCCCAACAGAGTAACTTCTTCAAACTGTTTTCTGTAGAAATACTTAGAAATACTTTCTTCTAAAAGCTACCTTTCATATTCATTAATGGAGTCAGTCAAAACCAATTGCAAAAGTCCCATGAGATATAATTAAGGTATGAAAAAAGTTATATGAAATTATACTCAAAGACTGTCTTGCAAAATGAAAATCATTTTTACCCAGGAAAAATGTCTAGGATGCTCAGAAAGAAAAACACATCATAAACAGCACAGTGTTATTTTGCTGTTGGTTTCATATCAATAGGATAGAAAGAGAGCTTTTCCCTGGGATGAATTGTTTTTGTTTGCTTTGGAAAAGTAATCACCACTAAGTGTAAATTGTGCTAATTGAATGACTGCTGTGGTACTGAAGATGCTTCTTTGGGTGACTGCCTTATCTTTGCATAAACATACAATTTCTATTTTATTATGACCAGAACAGAACGAATAACCGTGAATAATTTTTCAATAATGTAACTGTTTCACCATGAATAGAAATAGGGAGCTTGAGGTTTCTTCAAATCTCTATGAGGGAAAGTATTCAGTTAAAGATCTTCACTTTGTAGGTTGTTCCCTCAAGAAGTAGAGCAAGCACTCAAAACTGAATAATTTGCTGCTTTTAATTGTCTCTGGTGGTCACGTTGTTATAGGAAACAGATAAATCACGAAATTAAGTTTAAAAAAACCCAAACTGGCATTGTTTTCATAAGCTTCCCTCTTTAATTACTGTATTTTTTAAGTGCATGGGGCTTGAAGGGAAAAATGCAGTTGATAGAACTAGGTCAGAATTAAGAAATACAAATATTCTTGCACTGCTAAGGTCTGATCTAATGAAATCGTTTAAGAATAGAAATATTTTTTGGAGGTAAAACCTCCTCTAAAAGTGAGATTTAGGACCTAATTTGAGGTTCCGTCTTGATATTATTTGATCTTCATGAAGTTATATACTGAACTGTGAGAAAATGATTCTAATATTCTAATTCAATTGCCAATTTCTTTTCTTACTCCATTCCACTTTCAATGTAATCTGTTGGGCAAAGGGAAGTGAGTTTCTTGTATGACAGCATCAGGTTCCATAGAGAATTCTGCTGGGTCTGTAGCAGTCACTGCTAGCTTTTTCTAAATTACCTGGAAATTGCAATTAAAGGTATGTTTAAGGGCAAAATCCAGTCTGCAGATGTCAAGAATTTCTGAACTCCATAGAGAAAAGAACCAGCCTTCACTGATTGGAGCTAACTGGTTTTTTTTAATAAGGTAATAATCAATTATTTACTGAATTTCACAACCTGAATTTGGTCCTTTTCTTTTTAAACTTCCACTTGCTGTAGGAAGGTGACCTCAGCTTGGCATAAAGAGACACTAATGGATAGTACAAATGTACTTTGGTGAGATTTGCTTTTTCTTTGCTTTGAAATATGATTTTAATCTAAACTGTGGCAAGAATAATGAATAGATTTCTGTGTTCATATTAATTTTCTCATTTCAGTAACTTTAGATGTGGGTCACCCTCTTTGATCTGGTTAGTTCTGCAGTCAGAATTGAACAATGTACTTACTGTTTTTACTGTACAAATCAGCATGAACATACTTGAAGCATGCCTCAGAGCTCAGCTGGATTTTCATCTAATATAATAGTTGCATAAGAATTTCAATACCCTATTGAATCAGTGGTTTATTTGGTCAACCTCAAGAATAAAATACTAATTACTAATCAAATAGCATATTCAAGTAGAGGCCGTCTGGTTAGCATCTAGTTATTGGTTGACTTATGTCCTGGGTATAAACTTAAAATATTTGATGCTGTTGTATCAAACTTATTGTGTGCCAAATTCTACTTTCAGTTGTTATCTGTGAGAGAAGAATGAATTCAAAGTTGTATGCAACAGAATACCTGCAGATGTTGAGGGGGGAGGTTTGTAAGATCAAAAATGGCTGGCATCTGGCATCAGTAAGCAGCTAGAGGGCTGATAGTTGCCTGGTGCACTGCATTTCAGCAAGGGGGTCGACCCCCGTCTAGGGGCACGAAACAAATGCTGCAGTAGAGCAGAAGTGAGAGAGCAGTGCCTGTCTCAGTGTCTGTGGCAAGCTCCCAGCAATAATCAGTGCTAAAGCTGTAATCACAGCCACGTGGCAGCACAGAGCCTTTTTAACTGCTTTCTATTCTTAGTCCTCATAACAAGGGATTAAAGAGCATGGAAAAAAATAGCACCTAAAAAGTAGACCCTATTATAAAATATGATTTCCTTTTGGAGGACAATAGTTAATACATGATGAATCCTGTAGGGGAGCCATGTATGCGTTTCCAGTCGCTAAGGTTTCAAAACTATTTTAAGAACACCAGAACCTGGCTGTTGTCATAGCAGCAATAAACCTTTTAATCTCACTTCCTGTGGAGATGAAGCTGTTTTTTGCTTATCTACTTAAGGATCATCAAGGCTGGCTATGTGACAGAGAACTAGGGGTCTAGCACTGTGAGAGGATGCTACTCATTACCTCCAGAAAGTTTACTGCTCTTGTCCGCTTTGATAGTACTTAGGATTTCCTGAGGAATAGATCTCATGACAAGCTAATAGGATAGTCACCTGGGAAGCTAACTTTCATTTATACCACTGTTTTGGCATTGACAACCTGTCATGATTAAGTGAAACTGTTTGTAGGTAGTATTGGGCAGGATCTTGCCACTATCATGGATCTCCTTTAGTTTCAAAGCATCCTTTTAGAACAAGTCGCTTCATCCCGAATGTCTCCGCTGCTTAGTCTGTGAGGCTTCCCAAA